CGAGACTGATTCCCATGATTTTAAACTCTCTACTTGTTACTTGTGCAGTATATAAAGGCCTCAATTTTTCTATAACAACCCTCTTCTTTCTTTCGTCCAATTTGTCATTGGGCCTTACACGGATGATCTTGGAAATGTGCTGCCCTATGCTGTGGAAGGTGTTGGAGTTCCTGTTGACCCACTTGCTTTTGCAGGGCTGCTAGGTAAGTTTCTTCTGGCTTGTCTATTATTGTTCTAACATTCTATATGCTCGGCGTAGAAATTAGTTGGGCAATGCCCTCCTAGATGTAATAACGTGAGATGTATAATACTATGCTTCTCCAGGGATGGTGGTTACTTCTTTGAACTTGCTGCCTTGTGGAAGACTGGAAGGAGGTCGCATAGCACAAGCCATGTTTGGTAGAAGCACTGCCGCGGTGTTATCCTTCGCCACTTCGTTATTGCTCGGTATCGGTGGCCTGAGTGGTAGTGTCCTGTGTTTGGCATGGGGGTTATTTGCAACCTTCCTAAGAGGTGGGGAAGAAATACCAGCAAAGGATGAGATTTCTCCTTTGGGGGAAAGCAGGTTTGCCTGGGGTATTGTCCTTGGCCTTATTTGTCTACTCACACTTTTCCCCAACGGTGGAGGCACTTTCTCCAGCTCATTCCTCAGTGGTCCCTTTTCAGGGGCGATATGTAAATGGCTTACTGTAATTCTGTAATTAAATGTATGTAATTATTGCTGGAAAAAAAAGTATGTAATTATTATGTATTTATGTCATTCACTAGAGTGGTAGTTTTACTCCTTAGCTCTCACCTTTTTTCAACCAGCAATAGATTACAAGGTGGTTCCCAAGCAGTGAAATGTGTCTTGAGAACTCTGAAGAGAGTAATACTCAAACGTGAATTTGCATGAGAACGACATGAACTTAATTAGATTGGTGGATGCAACTCTCTGGACTCGAAAACCACTGGATATGGGATGTTGATGCAATCCTTAATGAATTTTTCGCTAATTAATTGGAATGATTGAAGAAGTCATATGATTGTGTTATTTGGTTATAACTATTCAACACATTATTTAAAAAATTTAAAGTTATTTGTAAATCTGGGAATGACATAAATAAAATAATATTTGTAATTTTAAAGGAGAGTGTAAATTAAAAGAAAAAACTCTCTCAATACTATAAAATGGATTTTATATTTAACATAGGAGGAGTAATAACATTTTGATTTAGACTAAAATAAAATCCCTTATCTAATTTCAGAAGCATAGAATTGCCCAAAAAAAACATATTACGGAGCATGAAATGAAATTTTATGAATCCTCCCAAACACTACTAATTCATCATAATTAAGGGCGGTAAATTCATTAAATTTATCTCAATTTGATTTTTTTAAATTTTCATCCATATTAAATGAGATATGGGGGAAAAATTAGGAATTGATATATTTAAGCATTAATTACAAGAATAAAATTAATAAATAAATATTAATTACTGTCAATAACTTATAGTTTGCACCAAATTATTTTTCTAAAAAGTCACTTTCATTGGACATAAAAGGGAGTAAATTGGTTACTCTTATGCATACAAAAGAAAAACATAATAAAAAGTTTATTCTATTCTTTAATTTGTGATCTCGTATTAAAAAAAAATTTAAACAATAAATTATTTTATCTTGAAATTTTTTATTTAGTGTAAATTAAAATTCCTAACAAGAAAAATACATATCTTGGTATATTAGTAGCGTGTAATAACTAATAAATGACAGTTTTCGCTGGCCAAAAAAAAAAAAACATATAAATGACATTTTTCGTTATCCTATGGCATCCGCAGTCACGCACCGACTTGCTGCAGGAGGTAGGGAGACAAAATCGTTCATTGTACTTCATACTTCATAGACAAGTTTCATTTCAATTCGATTGTAATCCTTTGGAAGCTCAAGCCATGAAGCTAAGAATCAGATCTCTCGAATCCAAAGAAACCCTAAAAATCGAGGTTCCGGATTCATGTTCTTTGCAGCAACTCAAAGAAACTGTATCTCGAGCCATCTCAGCCCCCTCCTCTTCTCTGCATCTCTCGCTCAATCGGAAGGACGAAATCAATGCTTCCTCCCCAGAAGAATCGTTGCACTCCATTGGCATAGCCAGCGGTGACCTCGTTTTCTACTCTCTCAATTCCAATGCCTTCACCTCTGAAATCCCACTAGTGCACAAGCCTGGACCATCGGAGGCCAAACACACCGATCATATCATGCAAAAAACCCCAAATCAACATTCATCAGAAGGGCAGATGGAGGCTGGAGAGACTGATGTGATGGCCGATGATATTGCTGACTCAGAACAACAGCCCGCGGTTTCGGAGAGCATGGAAATTGTTGACGGGTCTGTTGAGGTGATGGGGAAGCGCGATTCTGAACCTTCTTTCGTGAAAAGGGTGCTTAGGGAGACGTTGAGTAGTGATCGTAATGATGTAAAGCTGTTGGTCGTCTCTGTTCATGCCATTATTCTGGAATCTGGCTTTGTCTTGTTAGATAGGGTTTCAGGCATGGCGGTTGGCTACTCGAATATTCTGGATCATGGGCCGTCGACGACTTCGACGTTATCTGTAAGATATTCTTTGCCTGAAATCCTAACTAATGGTTCTGATTCGACCGAAACTGTGGTATTGAAATTTCAGAATTTGGGGCATTTTGTTAATGTGTACGGCTCCTTGTCGGTTGGGGGCTCTGGTTTGTGCAGAGTAGTCATCGATAAGCGTAAATTTGCTCCCGCTTTAGGGTTGATGCTGGCAAAATCTGATTCGAATGATAACAAAATTTCGAGTGTCTATACCCATGAGAAAGAGGTTTTTGAGTTATGGAAGATGGTCAAAGATGGGCTTGCATTGCCGCTCTTAATTGATCTCTGTGAAAAATCTGGATTGGGTTCTCCGCCATGCTTTATGCGCCTCCCAACAGAACTTAAACTCAAGGTTTTGGAGTATCTTCATGGTGTTGATATCGCCAGAATAGCGTGCACATGTTCAGAAATGAGATATTTGTCCTCAAATGATGACTTATGGAAGCAGAAGTATGAGGAATTGGTCGGACAGAAGAAACTAGAACTAGGAAATAAATCATACAAGGCTTGGTTTGCTAGGGAGTGGGTAGCAATGCAGCATTCAAAGCGTCATCTTGATAGAGCAATCGTCATTCGAAATCATAACCCAACATACTATCGAATCCGGCGAGACCCGAGTCCATTTGGAATCCCTTCAATGGTGGGTGGAGACTATGACCGGATTCCAGGATTTGGTGTACCTTCTCCTTTGGGGCAACCTGGTTTACCACACCCTGCGTTTCAACCACGCCGGAGGTTCCATCCAATGTGTGATCTTCACGATTGAAATGACTAGCCTGGTGGCTTGAAAAGCGTCTCTTCATCATGGATCACTATTGGTAATGGCTACTACATGTTAAAAGGCCTTGCTAGAACGGGCATAACATGAATTTCTGGTTGTAAGTATAGATCTTAGTAGACTTTTGGCTTGCACGTGTATACTCCCGGGCAGTACTATTTTCATGGGAAATAAACCTGTTTGGACAACTGAAAAAAGTGTTTGGATGAAAGAGAGAAAAAAATTTTACGATGTACAAAATAAAGTAAATAAATACTTATACAAAGTTATTATGAGAACATTCAAATACTTTTTTTAAGTATTGCGATCTTGTTCGAAAAAGCCTTGCTTTGCCCTCGGATTTTGGGGTATAGCATATTGTAGTAACGGAGTGATTATTCATACTTCCGTGTAGTAGCACGGCTACATATTAGGGGTAGGGATTTTCGTAGTTTGGTTGATGTCAATTTTTCAGAAGTTAGATGAGATTTACTGTTTGCGTTTCCCATGGTGCGATGTCAAAACTAAATAAAAATAAAATGCACTCGAAATATTTTTTTTAAATACATTTAGCATCCTAAAATATTTTGTTATACATCCCACACTTAAAATATTTTTTCAGATATGTCTGTTACTATAAAGTATTTTTTGATGCATTTAACATCTCAAAATATTTTTAAATGCATTCAACATCTAAATATTTTTTAGTACATCCAGGAACAAGACAAAAAAAAAAAAATACTTGGCGCTCCTTGAAAAAAAAGACTTTATGATAGTGAATGTAACAGTACCAGAGAATATCCAGCACCTTAACCCTAAAAATAATTATATGCATATATAATATATGTTAAACATAAATTCTTCTGGCAAAAACTGTTAAAAATAAATTCTTAACAAGTTAAAAATAAATTCATAATAACATCACAATATATGAAATTTTTATTAATGAAATAACATTGCCAAGATAGACACCAATAGGTAGTTTAGCTGATTATGAATTTCAATTTAATGAGGGTTCAACCCTAATACAGTGAAGCTGGTCGGACCATTCGATCCAGTTCCTTTCCCTAATGTTCTTATAAAGTGTTCATATATTCCAATAATAATATAAAAATGTCTCGAGTTTTCAACCAAATCATACTGCATTGAAAAGTGAGATACTTGATATATTTTCTCACCAAGGATACAAGAACTATTTGCCTTTTTGGGCTATAAAGTACTGTTCACGTATTCAAGGTTTTGATTCAATTAATTTTAATATTTTAAAATGAAGCAATAACATTTTTTCTTTTTAGCAATAACATTTAAGTTATTCATTTCCAACAATAATAATCACAATGGTTTCGTTGCTAGAATCTCCAGCGAAAACCTTATGCACCTCGTGGGTTTAGCATTAGAGAGGGAAAGGACATTTACAGAAGACCTAATCGAATATAATATCTAACCTACAAGGATGAAGCATTTGCTTAAATCCTACACCATTTCTTATGAGCTGGCAGGAAATAAATGACTGTACAAGGCAGGTAAAATCACCACATCATATGCTACAAATTATACATTCGGAGAAGAAAGGATTTCACTATGTACAACATGTACAATATATACTCTGCTCCTCTGGATCACCAGAAAGGGCACCACCTGCCACGTATTAACAGTATAGTTAATCTCAAATAAAGAAGGTGGGGGGGGGGGGGGAATTAGTTTGACCCAATCTGGCTCTGACACTTGGAAGGTTGCTCATCCAGTTGGTCACAACAGAACACCGATCTAAACTGTGTCAACCCTAAGTTTCTGGCAAAATACACATTAATTTTCTGATAATTTTCCTGTTTAAGTTACTAGAGTTAGATGCCAAAAAAGAACAGTTCATGACACCTTAGAATAAAGACGGCAATATGATTTAACATCTAAATTAATCAACTTTTTCATGATAGAGGAATCCTTGCGAAAGACATCATTCTCCACAACACATCTATTTACAGCGCATCCCAGTTATACGTCAATATCCAAAAACAAACACTTAAGAACTCAAACGTATTAGACATCATTTGCATCATATTATGCTAGATGCATTCCACGATGGGCAATCCTTTTTATCCCATCTTCATGAGCTTGCCAGTAAACATGACATTATGTGTCGACAACTTCTGAAACGGTTAGCATCAATGTTCAAAAGTTTTACCAACATAAATGTGTTGCTAGGAAGAAAGCTAGAGATTCAGGGGGGGAAAAAGGAGGGAGAGACTGGTTAATATGGCTTGCAGATTAGTCACTCCAAAAAGCAGAGGACAAATAACAACACAAGAAAACTGATGAGTTTGGAATCATACCCGACATAATTTTGGCACAAATTTTCATGTGAGGTTGCTTGGTTAATTAACTTTTGAACTTGCAATTTCACTGATAAGCCATGATCAACTTCACGAGTGTCTCCAGCAATTAAGCTGCTATGATCTACTGCATGTTGTATAGAGCCAGATGAAACCGAAGAACAAGTTGAAAAGTCCCGTCCTGTAAGCTTATGACTCATGCGAGCCATAACAACTACCGCTCGCTCATTCAGGACCTCATTAGCATCACCAAGCTGGTTGACAGCCTATATGTAAAAGTAAAAACAATTATCATCATAATAAACATAAAAAAACGAACCAAAAAGAAAAACGTTAAAAATACCTGAAGAAGTTCCCTCTCACGAGCACCTCGTTGAGGATGAGGAAGCTCTCTATTTGTGGCAGATTCTTCAGTATTCACAACAGCAGGTACATGATTACTGGTAAGCATCGACATTTGTGGAACTTCATTGAAGTTGAAAAGACGCCAATTGATGAGAGGATCATGTACAAAGGCCTGAGGGCAGGAAGAACAATTAATCAACCTAATCATCCAATTGAGACCATAAGACGAGATGATTTAATATAATGAATAAATTACCCTGGTGTGCTAAAAAAGCTACGGTTAGAAAAGATGAATAAAGAAATAGCGATACTTTTTTTTTTTCACCCTTAAACAATACGCATTTTTATGCTCAACACGTGCATATCTTGGCCCTACTCCAAAAAATAACACAATGAACATTACCTTGTAAATTCATAAGAATGGGGTGTTCTTAGTCTCTCAAATCTATACCCGTTTTGGAATTTTTTCACAGCAGAGAAATGAGAATGGGAGAAAAATTTTACCTCCATCATAGCCATAACACTATCTTTATTAGATCGCAGAACTTGCATTACATTTTCACATGTTGAGCGGAAGTTTCCTTCAATACCACTAACTTCCATAGCTTTCACAAGCATCCTTGTCAAGCGAAAAGGAACCTGATCCGGAAATAGCAAGATAAGAAACAATAACATATCAAGAATTTGAATAATCTCAGAAAACAAAGAATAACAGATTCTTGAGCACCTTCTCAGGGAACTTCTCACGATTCATCGATGCTTCAAAACAGTCTCCAAAATCTATGTGTAAAATCTTCCCACTGCAGAACAAGAGAACAATTAGATACCTCAAAATTTTAAATTAACTAGTTCTGTCAATCTAGCTTAAATTATCTTTCAGTTTTTGTCAGTTACCTAAACCGGTGTAACATAAGGTTGCTTGGATGACGATCACCTAAGCCAAGGAGGTAACCGACCTGGCAGAACCCAACTATTAGTATAAATCATAAACTTAAATCTTCATCAGTCTAGGAGGGATGAATAAGTCGGTTTCTTGAAGTTATGAACTTCAATAATAGGAAACCCATGCATTACAACAAGCTCTTTTTAACGTTCAAAGCATAGAAAATCAGAGTATGATCTTCTCTGGTTAATGCATTCAAATTGGAAAAAGTGCAAATGCATTTACATAAGGGACTGAAGGAAACAAACCCGCCAATCAGATCCCACATAAAGCGCTAACAATAAAATTTAAATAAATACTCTATCGTAGCAAAACACATAGAAGAAGGAAGTGAAAATATGGCAGAAGCGATAAATGAGGACCATAAAGAGTGAGACAAAACACATGAAAAATATATCCTTCAATGGAAAGTGAGCCATTTTGATGCTACTAAAAGGAAATAAGTTCAGAAACACCCAAAATAACAAGAAGAAGAAAAGCAATGGTTGGCGACTTGAAGGCTTAGATCCTCTGTAACATGCAAACCAAATATTCACCTCTTCAGACCACATAATAAATGCTTTCACAGTTATAAATTAAAACATGATGGAGTCTGCACGGTAATTATAGAATGTGGCAATAAGTCTTAAGTCAAAATTTCAATTCATTGTATAGAATATGATTAAGCACGCACCATACTCATGACAGCCAAGCTCCTAGTGTAATTTGTCCTTCTCTCAAGCCATACCTCAGATGTTCGACTTTTCAACCAAAGCACCTAGAAAACAGAACATTGTGACCCTTGAATTAAGTGCATGCTGTAGGAGACCATATACCAGGTAGTGTTTGAAAATATTACATACCCTTGCCAAGTCATTTCCTTCAGTATTTTGCAAAGCATACTCAAACACCTCAACCTTAGCTACAAGAGGCAAATGATCATAGTCGGGTGCAAAACTGAGCATATATTTGTGTTCCTGATTCAAGGTTATCTGTACAGCAGGGGGAAAATGTTCAAGTGATTAAAACTAGGAAACACCATTATATTAATGACAATCTCACTACAATCAAACCCAGATCACAAAAGCATAAGAGAATTAAAAGAAAGCTAGATGCTACAAGGAACAATGAGCATATAAAAGCAGCTATTCTATCTGACCTTCCTAGCATCCCTGTACTCCCGAATTAGATGATGCAAGGTGTCACAATTAGGGACCCATCCGATCAACCCACTGTTTGGAGATAAAGGAATTACAGAATATCGTTGAATGGACAAATCTTTCTCAGACGTCTTCCTAGAATTCTCGAGCAGAGTGTTCACCAGGCCAAAAAGCTAGCAAAAAATAACAAGTCAGTTACCAACTTGTCAAGATGAATGATCCCAAAGAAAAAGTTCCCAGATGCCAAATTATACAGGCAGCATGTAGGACAACAACCATGAAGGTACCTGCATGACACGTTCATCCTGGCGTAAATCCTCATGTCCCTTCAATAAGAAAGCATAGTCTTCACCATCACTCCCATGAATGGTCAATTTCCTGGGTCGTTGCTTAGATGTTATAACCACAAGTTGACGTGCAAATGATGCAATTGTTACCACTGGTGCATCTGAAATATGGTCATGGATGATTAGTAGACTAAATCCACATTACTGCAAGCATATTTTTTTGGAAGATCATAAAGCAATTTACCAGCTACATATGTCCCAGGAACAGCAAGCTCCAAATTGCGGCATTCAAGCAATTCCGGAGAGACAGACTATGGATAGGAAGAGTGTATTAGCCCCATGACAATGACAGTGAATAAATATATAAAAATAAATAAATATACATGTAACCATCACTCTTACCTCCAAGTCCAAGGTTGTAAGACTTTGGAGCTGCTTATCTATCTTTCTAAACACATGATAATAGATATCCCACGCCTGATCAAGTGATAATTTCAAAAAATCAATTTAAACCAGGAAAATAATAGAAACAAGCTTTAAAATTTCTTTGACAGATGAAAATCTGCATGAACGAATGTATGCTTATTTCACATAACATTTCTTTCCTTCATTCAGTCCTAATAAATGCACCTGCCGCATAATATCTAAAAAAGCCAGGAGAGACTAGGAAGGAAGCTATTTTGATTTATTCTTCTCCACTGCGATCCAATATGGAAAAGAACGTCTAGAATCTCATTCTTATTCATAAGTGAATTGTAATTCACATCAAGGACCAATTCATCCCAAAAGCTTTAACTATCAAAACAAGGCCAGAGAGGTAAATATATACCCTGTATCACCTATACCAAAAAGTCCAAACAACCCAGGACCTTCTTCACAATGAGGAACTAAATAAAAAATCTAGACAGGCAAATTTCAAACCTGGGTTAGCTCAGCATCTTTCCCAGTACTCTTATATTTCACACAGCACTCATAAGCCTCTAACAGCTCCTGTCGATAGGCCTGAAATAACAAGAAAATATAGACAAATTCATATTCAATATTTGAATTTGAAGTGACGGGATTTCAACTTTTTAAAAATTCAGAATTGAAAAGCTTTTATGCATATGAAAACAAATACATAACCAGGGTAATACGAAAAACATGCACGAACATCTTAATCCTCGACTACCAAATAAGTCAAGATGCTGGCACAACCTCAATAAATATTCTCTCTTTTATTGTGACATTGTTTCTCATAGCGCCTTCTTCAAGCATCTCATGCAATGGCTCCAACACCTTTAGCATCCCTTCTATGTTATGTTCACCAAAATATAAACGACTAGCTTCTTCCAGGGCTTCATGCCACATCTCATGCCAAAGAATTGCAACCCTAATTAATTCTTGCGAAACAAGTTGAGCCTGAAGCAAAAGCAGCTTATAAATAATTAGGAAATAACGATGACCAAAAAAAAAAACTGTAGATGGATCATTATCACACCTGATCCACAAGAACACCACTACGCTGCCGAACTTTGTCAACAACTTCCTGAGCTGCAGCTCTGCGTAAATTGCTTATTGATTTACACGCTACAAGGAGTGGATACATGAGAGCCTACAGATAAAAATAAATGGCAATATCACATAAGCTTAACAAAAATAAAATCAGCATGAACATTAGAAACACTAAAATAGTCATCCAAATGCTACCAGCTGAGGGAAAAAAAGAAGAAAAGAAAACCGTTATATCAAGAAAAGAAAGTTGACATACAGAAAACTGACACGATCAGAGTCCCATCAGACATTTCAACCAATTAGAGTGCCATCTTTCAAATTCAAAAGGCTTTTCAACTTAATGCTTTTTTTAATTCTGAATCATTAATTATTGTTTACAAAGTACAACTGCCTCCAGTAAAACTTCATTAGAAAATTCATTTAGAAGTAGTTTGCAAGCCTGTGTGGGACGAAATCTTCTTGGCTAAGGAAATCTATGTAATTATCAGCAAATTGCTCAAATCAAATGCCTTAAACAACTGATTAAATTATGCAACTTCCCAGTCGCCCAAAGAGGCTTGTCACATTTAGTTTATTATTTTTATTATCCATAATGGGCCATAAGAATTATTTAGGAGCATTAGTTGCAAAGTCACATATCACACTCAACACCCCTTTTTTTTGGGGGGGGGGGGGGGAGACAAATGGAACACAGTACAGATGGAGGAACCCAATTGCCACCTAGAGATATGCGCACCAAAGCACCCATTTAGAACATAGAAATATCTAATAGGAAAATTAGATACTTCATGCAAGTTCAAAATTCCAGCATCCGGAGCGCTACTTATCAATGGATGTTGGCAAGCAGTAATAAGTCCAAATTCAACATCAGTCCCAAACCTGTGGATGACTTTGCCCAATTCGCACCAAAAGTGACTGTATCAATTCTCTTACAGCATGGTTATTAGAGTGTATCCTGGCAATTATCTGAGGAAGAACTACTAGCCAGGTGTTGATGTTGACAAGGGAGAACCCCTTCTTTAGGGCCATTTGAACTTCTATTGTAGCACCATGGTTAAACCATAACGTTAGAAGCCGCAATATATCCTGAATCAAGTACAAAAAGCATTAAAATTAGGGCTCTAGTATATTAAAAACAACCACCAAAGCGGATTCCAAAGCAAAAGCAAACCTATAGCATTACTCACAGCGATAACCAGATGTAAAGATGTAGATAATCTAAGATAGGTTAATGGCACATTTAAATGAGCCCAATATTGATGTACCCCTAATCTTATTAATCTTTCCCGCACGCCAAACAATGGGAGGAGCAGAGTTCTTCTGTTTAATTAGAAGATTTTTATAATAAGATAAAAAGGAAGAATTCCATATTTAAAAATATTAAAATTACAACCAAAAAGAACAGAAGAAAGAAACTAAATAACAACCAAAGCAAAAATATTGATACAAACAGTTCCAGCAATCCCCCAAGACATCAGCATGGTTTCATGTTGCAACGGATAATGTGGCATACCTGTAAACTATCATCAACACCTTTAGCATTGGCACCACATGCTATTGAATGGAAATATCCAGTGACAGCTGCTACAACAAATTGTGCTGCTACCTCAGGAAAACCTCTTACAGTGTAATGGGACATCACTGCGGTATTGAACAATGCCCATTTATGCCAAGCTTTGGCCCATTTATTTGCATACTGAGTAGCCTTTGTAAATGCAGCAAGTATATCTACAGATGTGAAAACATAATCAGAGAAGCTATTGAAATCCTTTTCATCTCAGAGTTGAAATTGAAACGTCCAAGAACCTTGTATGGACTCATCATCCAACCCTGGCGAAAGTGACCACTGCCAAGATCCAAGTATCAGAAACACACGAGCAAGGAGAGGAACACCTGGATTGGCTGCATTTGCAAAGCCTGATGGTGTAACTGGTTGCATGCTGGATGAACTCGAAAGCTCCATAGCCAAAGTCTGTGCCAAACGGTTTTGAAGCAGCAGGCCAGAGATTAGTGGTAACTAAAGTACATGTAACTATTATGCAAAGGGAGATATATCATACCTGCAGCCTGACAAAAGCCTCCCTACGCTTCAGATCCTCACCAAGTGAATACTGGTATTTTAAGTACGCCAGCATTACTTGTGGAGGGCCATGGTATCGTACATTTTCAGGAGAAATTTCAGGATCATACTGAAAAAGAAAGGGGAAGAAAATAGTGAAGCGAAGATGAATGATAATTAACAGAACAACCTTCTTAGAGAAACACCACAAACCTGCAAGAGTTTAACTAAAGTAGATCTAGCCTGACTAATGCGCCCACTTTTTCTGCAAAGTGAAGCAAACTTGAGCCAAGTTTCAATGTCTTCTGAAGGAGGCAGTACAAGTGCTCTAACAACCAGAAGTGCCTGCCAAACCTATACATTCAATCAAAGGAAATAATTAGACAAGTGACAGTACTTGGCGGAACTTCCTCTTAAAGGCGATATAAAGTTTCACATTGTTCCTAAAACAGAACCAGAAACCGGTCACCATATTAAGAAAATGATAAGAGTAGCACAGCCACACAATCACTACAAAGAGCACACAACAGGAGACAAGAAGATGACAAACAAAAAGGGTTAAGTAATGGCTTTGCAAATAATCTTCCAATCACTAATTCAGTCATTAAGCAAGAAATTCCCCTCCTGGACATAACTGAAAATAAAGCTTCATAAAGTTTAAGTGAAAATTCATTTGACTTAAGCCTATTAACCATCAATAAACCCACGTGATTCATAGGAAGAATCTGCAACTAAACACAAGAATCATTAACCATTAACCAACATGAGCAAGCGAATAAAGGCATTAACCATTGACCTATTGTAGATTAATGAATAATTAACTATTAACTACTAAAAGTAACAAATGATAAGTGAAACATGTTTACCACTTCTTTGGCCTCTTTAACCTCAAGTGAAGCCAAAGATTAGTGCCCATAACGTTCTTACAAATTATCTATATCACAATCCCCAAAACTTTCAAAAAAACACAATTGTAGGCATCTAGTCAAAACTTAGAAGTCGGACTGTGATCACAATCATATGCAGTGGTTATATGCAGGCTTTCAATTGATAGCGTGCACAAAACACTTCCATGCTTAGTTTTATGTTTATGCACTTTTCACAGGGAAGAGCTGTGGACCTCAACATTGCGTTTTGCTCCTTGTATACGCTGCGTCCACATATTGCGAATAAGAGCTCGTCGCCCTTCAGCAACAGGATCTCCCATTGGAAGGATACAGTAATCAATTACCTGGCAAGAGTATATTTTCCCGCATTAAATTTAACAAGTTTAGAATAAAGAAAAACACCAAAAGTTAAATTTCTGACTACAAAAGCACAAACCTCTTCTAGCTCTGACAGTTGCTGAACACGAACCATATTGCTGTAAGCACGTTCATAGCTCTCCAAGACCTTGAAATGAAGAGAAGATGAGAATATACAACATTCTATGCAGTAGAAAGGAGTTCATAAAAATAAAACTCTACTAGTAATACCAAAAGAATATCACACTGACTAAGCATAAGCAGGCATTGTCAGCCAGTGGTGCATCAAATGATGTTTCGTCAGTATTGGGCAATCAGCATAGTTTACAAGTATACAAGGAAAAATGGTCCAAATAATAATTCTAAGCAGTTTACAATGCCGCAACAAAATACAAATTATAAATTGATTTAAATTTTAGAGAGAGAGAGAGATCACTGAAGAGGTGAAGTCCCATTGTTTTTGACCTATCCAATCCTTTACAGCAATGCAGAGGATATACATGAAACACAAACACTAGTGGTATGGAGACAACTCCAGCATTAGTAAAACCAAGTAAATCAACATTCATGATGAACTGAACCCAATCTTTTTCCCTTTTCCGCTTTAAGATCTAGCACCACTTGTCAGATAAACGAGTACAGATTTAGAACAATATAGGTGACGGGAAGAATTTCAGAGAATAGTTACATAGAGACTTCTTGTTTTATTTCTAAAAAGTAGCCACAAGATGTAAAGGAAGTAAGCCACAGAAAATCAATTAACATCAGCAAAGAAGAAACAACAGCCACATAAATGAAAAATAATGCCTCACAAAAAAGGAATTAAATGAGGAAACAAAAGCATTTGACTTCAACACATCAGCCTAGAGTATACTACCATGATTTTGCCTATCCGACTAACAGCAGAGATTCCAAGAATAATAGTAAAACTTCCCACCCCCTTTTAAAACTTCTGTTGTCCACATAGTCTTGGAAATTTGAGTCCACTATCCTAGGAATAAACAAGGAAGAAAAGTTTATGAATCATACTCACCAAAGCAGCAAGCTCCGTGGCCAAACATTTTCTAGCCCTTTCAACATATTCCCGTGCTTCATCATGCTGCCAATATATTCAGATCAGCAAGAGTAAAATTTTTCAGCACAGGAAAATCGAGAGTAGATGTCCCTAGCAAGCCAGTACCTTTCCTCTACGAACTAAGAGAACAGCTCTGAAGAAAGTACCATTACTGCTTCCATCACCACTGGAAGCAGTATTCCCTAATCCTCTAAGTTTTGTTTCATCACCATCATCTAATCGAGACACATATTCAGCCATTTGGTCCCATTCTCCCATGTTCCAAGCAGCGTTTGCAGCCTAACACAAATCATGTAAAAAACTTACGCACATGTTGAAAAATTAGAAAGTAATATGGTTTATATAAAACAAACCATTGGCGCCATTTCAAGACGAGCAGCTGGCTCAGCCGGGGTCCAATATTCTTTACATAGGTTATTCAGCTCCTCCCAGCGAGCCAATGCAGCAAGACATCTCATTCGTCCTGCAAAGGAAGTTCCAAGCTCAAAGATCATCAAAATAATTGTGTCAAGGCAGACTAACAAAGCAAGAGTAAGTCCTTTTACATAAAAACACAAATAAATTTGTAATATAGAGTAGCTTCCATGTTTAAAAAATGGCATTGGAATAGGAAAAGGGAAGGCACATTCTATTAAAGAATATACATAAGGTCAACTTCATCCACTTCTAGATGGAACACAGTTGTCTACTTCACCTTCTGTTAGGTTCTCTAATGTATTTTTTAGAGTGGTGGAAATTGATTATTGCTACTACTATCAGAATTATTAGCATTTAGCAGTGTTAATTGTTAATGTTATTATGCATACATAAATGCATATATGAAGGAGGTCTTTATAGTCTTGATTTCAACTCGTAAATTGTTTTGGCCAATTATGATATCTCATCCTCTGTCACGCAACTCATTCACTTAATCCTAAAGGCCTTTTTTTTCTTCTGCAGGGGGGAAAAAAGAAAAACATTTTGTACCATTCATAAGCAACAATTTCCAACTATTTCCCTCTAATGATGTGTTTTGTATCCACGCGCACATGCTAAGAAGCTATAAAATCCTGGTTGATGATCCGGATAAAAACCTTCCTTTAACTCCACCTCCACATATCAACCACTTGCTGACTACAGCAAGAATTTGATCGCAATATCCTAAAAATTCTTCACTTCAAATTTTTAATACTAAAAGCTATTTTAAATATAGTTGGGACTTGGAAAGTGGGATATAAAACAATCATGTGCATGCACGTTTTTGTATTTAGTTCTATTTCTAATTCAATAAATAGTCAAATAGAATCATAGTAACAACAACTGAAGCATTAACAGCCCCATAGATTACCAGCTAAAGAACAAAGAGTCGGTTCATCTTGAAAGCACGTTCAAGTAACTCCAAAAACGAAGGAATAAAGGTAGGGATATCACTACAGACCTAAAGTAGCATCCAAGACAAGATGTGGACTTGTTGCTTGGGAGGCCTTTGCAGTATAAGCCTTGAGGGCATCATCCCATCTCTGCAGTTTCTCATACCTAAAGAATTGCGCATAAGCCCAAAATCTTTCCAACACTTTCTGGTGACATGCTAAAATTGCTTATGCAAGAGAAGCAAACATAGAAACGTTAAAGCATTACCATGACTCCTTTAGCTGAAAATCTAGGTGCTGTTGAGCATGGGTCAATATCCCAACTGCAGCCTACAAAATAAGATGTTTGGATGAAAATATAACTCACCATATCCATCAGGATAACGAAGTCGACCTAGAGAGCAACAGCCTACAACAAAATTTATCCGAAGCAACTTCTCTTCACACAAACCTCATGTTGGTGTAATTGGTTGTTTATATGAATCAGAGCTTCAACTACAGCTACTGGGTTTGCATCCATCTTCTTAGAGCGTGCTTCTTCAAATTCCATTTCTTTGTAGTGCAAGGCTTTTGCAAAAGCTCGACACTGAACATGACATAGAAATGTGAAAATGTATGAAACAGACACAAAATGAAAAGGCAAAGCAATGTTTTAAGCAGCATGTGCTGAAAGCACAAAATAAAGAGATGTATGGACCTTTTCAGCAAGAGCACCAAGAAGGCGAATGTCTATTGGAAGAGGTTTTTCATCATGCTCCATGAACTCAGCCTGTAGATTGAAAAGGAGGGTAAATTTACAAAAGCATAGAAGACCATAGTTTTGTTTCTTCCCCATGAATCTTAAAGTTGGCAGGACTAAAAGACGAATCACATGAAACCCTTGTTTTTGAAAAACAGAACCAATCTTCCCAGACAATTTTGTTCACGAGTTTATCACGTATGGTTCAATAATTAAATGAATTCTTAAGATTTTTCAAAACCAGTCATTTATTGAAAGATAAGACGGAGTAAAAAGGGCTTCAACTGTCAATCACCAATAAGTAAGTTTGCTGACTATTTAATTCCAGCTCTAGCTCAATGACACCTCCTACATGAACTAATTACTCCAAGACTAAGCGCAAGATCTTGTTTAAAAGAAGATAGTTATTTGACAGACAAGTTTGTTTAAACTAGATCTTTTAAGAAAAAGATTTGCATACTTGGGCATCAAAGTTTGCTTAGGGAGTGTTTGGATGAAACCAAACCATGGTTTGAAGAATAGCTTCTGGAGAATAGATTCTGAGAAGAATAGATTTTATGAAGAATACATTTTGTGAAAAAGTGATTCTGAGAAGTGAGAGTGTTTGGATAGTTGTTATCAAAAACATTTTTTATATGTACAAATTACTAAAAAGGACATAAGTTAATATAATAATTACATAAAAAATAAATTTTATAATATACTTTAATTTCAAAAAATAATTTTGTTCATAATATATTGAAGTGGCACTATATTTGGTATGCCGAACCCGGACCTCAAAGAAATAAATATTTGGTATATTTATTGATTATCATGTGGAGACGACGGCCAAGGACGAACAGGCGAAGCGTGAAATAATTCTTGTGGGTGTTTTTGTCAAATACACCGTTGATAGCCTCTAACACTCCCAATGACGCGTTTTTAATTTTCCAGAAGCGAAAAATTGTCACTTTCCATAAAACCATGGTTTCATCAGTCCAAACCAAGGTTTTGACTCTAACCAAGGTTTTGACAAAAATGAGGCTGTTTGGATATCACTTGGTCCAAACCATGGTTTTGTGTCCAAAACCATGGTTTGGAATGATATCCAAACAGGCCCTTAGTCATTTTCAAACCATAATATCTCCTAAAATGTAATTCGAGTCGAGCAATATAGACAAATGCACTTTTCCTTTTAAAATCTACTGCATGAGCCCGCAGAAGCATTTTCTTCAATTAGTTAAAAAAGAAAATTGCATTTGAAAGTTGAAAGGTCCTCAATGATGAACTCTTTGTTTAAGAAGAAAAAATAAGTAAACCCTCTAAAATGAACTTGAAAGACAGGAAATTATCAAAAATAGATGAGAGAATAATTTTTGTGAGAATGAAGTTTGAATTACAAATCAGAAGCAGTATAATTGATCACATCTAAAAGCCCCAGTGCCAGATCATTTAAAGAACATATCCTTTGATTTAATTCTCGCCCTTGGCATTATTGAAGTAGACGTGTTGAATCTATGCATGAAAACATTGAAGACTCAAGAGACGTGTTTAAAATCATCAAAGTAAAGAAGAGCAAGTATACCAAGTTAAGAAGAGTTGCCAAAATTTCAGGAGGAATATTTGGAGATGAAAAGGCCATTTCTAGATTTCTGACCAACTGTTTTTGGCTACCCTCATTCAGCTGTGCCCAACAGCTGACAAATCCAGCTGCAAACAACTCTCTCCCAACAAAAGGCTGCCAAAAGCACATCAGAAGTGAAATTAATGAGGAAAAAATTTCTGTCAATTAGCTATATCAATCCACTGAAACCTGCAATTGTGCGAGCCTAGCACAGGTTCGAAGGGCTGGTGAAGGAGATTCCTTTAGCAGTTGAATGCTAAAATGCCTCATCCATTCTGCCCAATCTTCTTTAGTACTTCGCTGAGAAGCCTCCCCTGCTGTCCGCAAGCGACCATCATTGACCTGTGTGAAAGAAATTTAAGCCCTTAATACAAAAAATATGCCACAGGGTAAAAGCTTCAGAGTGTCAGACTACAGACTATACAGGATTTTATTCCTATAAATTCTATTTCCAGTTCTTAACTCATTTCCCAGACAATGCTCCTTCCTGATTCCCCTAAAGTCAGCATAATGTCTTCTTGTGATTTTGAACCAAAATTATTTTTATACTATAGAGCTGCCATTCTTTCATTTGGACTGCGATCATCAGCAGAATTAGCACAAAGTATGCATTTCAGAATGGCAGACGAGACAAAGATCTCTTCTAAAACTCATTGTACAAGAAACATAGTCATAGCACTGAAGACATATATGTGAAACAAAATCCACTGAGCACGCTCAGTCAGTTTCCCAAGGATTGGACAGAAGGTTGGAACTATAAACACATCACTTAGAGAAAGATACCTGATGGCCTCTTAGTTTCTGGACATCAGATCCATCTTCATAAGGATCATTCTCCACATCATCCAAAGGGTCGCTGATGACCTCAACAGGAGGACGTCGATTCAATCTTTGAATAGCTGTGCTGCCAAGGATTAATGGTTCCCGCCTTTGAAGATGCCCTTCAATTTCCTCAAATTCCTTGTGCTGAAGCAACATAAACTCTCTTAAAACTTGCTATCAAAAAAATTTCTTAAACTTTTCATTGCAAAATAGATATCAATTACACACTAAAATAAAATTAAAAACCAGGGAAAGTCAAGACCCGTAAGCGATATTTAAGTAAAAGCTTGTGTATGGACGGAACAAAAAGTGAGAAATCCTCGCCAAGGGCATGAGCCAGACAACAAAGTGCATCAATGGCATCCTTTCGGAGCTCATCATTTTTCCTGTAAATGACAAGTAAAATTACTAGAGTCACAAGACCAAATGACAGAGAAGAATGCCATAGACTCTATGAACAAATGAGAAGTACATTGATATAAAGTTAAATAATAGAATCTCAGGACTGACCCATCCAAAACTAGCTTCAGGTGATGCACAAGAGAAGATATGTGACCAGTGACCTGATAATGGAAGAGAAAAAGTTTGACAACAGACCAGAATAATCATAACCAAAAACGAAAAAAAGAAAAACGTATATCTTGCGTAAACAAGTTAAATTTGTACACTCAGTGAATGGCATGGTAATTTACCTGCACACGGGGGATCAATCTTGTCAATGTTTTTATTGCAGCACGTCTGATGTCTACCGAAGCATCCACTTTAAATAAACGCACAAGAGCAGGAAGTAGAAGATGCATATGTTCATCCAAAGTCCCTACATAATAAAGAATATATGGTTTACCCTTTATTCACATAATATATATACATAAGTAACTAATTCATGTTTGTCTAGTAAAATCAAAATAACCAGGTCTTACACCCACGAAAACCTACGCACCAAGTTAATAAAGTTTTGTTCAATGTCTTGCACTAAAATAATACTGAATATCTTCTTTATGAAATAATGCTAACAGTGAAGTACAAAGACAAAACACAACCCCCAAAAGAAAAGTAAATAAAAATTAGTTCAACGGAGGTCACCAATCCATCTGTAAATTCATTAAAGAAATCAGAGACTAGATCAAACATTTAAACCAAAATGGCTGAAAGAGCTCCCAATAACCAACTCATGTCAAAAACTTAAGATGTAGGTCAATGATAACGAAGAGGTCTATTATTATCTCCAAAACTTAAGCAAGGACAAAGCCTGACCCTACTATATACCTGTCCGGAAATATTAATTTTGGAGGCAAGAAATGAGCTTACAACCACTTGTCATGAGACTCATGACCATTTCACTACAAAAGTCTGAGTAAAGACAAGAAGTTCAAGAAATAGCTTTATTAGCATCACAAACAAAACATCAGTGATTCAAAAATTATCCCACTCCAGCCATGAGCTCCACAAACCCACAGAAAAAGCACACTGCCAAATTCATAAGCTCTTTCTTCGACCCGTAATGGTCAAACGAATTGTCAAAAAGATACACATAATACATAATATACTACAGAAAATAGCACTAACCACCAAACACTTCAAGGGTGTGAAGAATGTCAAGAACATAAGTGTAGTCATTGCATCGTTCTGCATCACTAAGGACCTGAATACAGCCTGGAAGAATAACTGGAAGATATGTTCTGAATTCATCATTGAGAGCTAAGCAAAGCTGTTCAACTAGGTGGAGAACCTGAAACAATAACATGCAGATCAGACATGTGAAGATCCTTACAAAATCCACCAATTTAGAAAATTTGCCAAACTTACTGGATAGCCAAGGGAAGGACGTGCTGGTGCTGGATGAGTGAACGATGACCACAATTCTGATATCAGAGAAAGCAACTCTTGCAAGTATTTACGGATATGCTGCAAAACCACATCATAATATATAACAGGATAGTCAAACAGCAGATCATATAATGATTTATTACGCTAGATATGTACCTGGCGCACAATAGACACCAAAGTTCCAAGCTTCCATGTGATGAAGTCTTTCAAGCTATCTTCACATGTACGGACAGTATGAAATAGATCGGGCAAAACCTAAAAGAAGGAAAAAGTTAAGGAATGTACTGAAAGTGGAGGACAAGGAATCATCCCAAAGAATATAAGCCAAAATGGCTCAAAAAATTATTCAACCTCTCTGCGTAACAGAAATAAAAATCTTCCTTAAAACATCTATGAGATGTGCACAGAAGTGGCACCAAAAATGCAGGCAAGGCAACCAAAAAAAAAAAAAAAATTGTAAGCGTAGAATGAAGGTAGAAAGGACGTAACATCAATTACGAAGTCCAAGATCAAGACTAACCTTTGGCAAGTACGGTACGCAGCCAAGTCCCATTGACTTTCCTCGCAAAGAAGAAATACAATCACATTGGCACCAAGAACAACAAAAATTAAGAATTGAAGCAATTATTTAACATATAATCTAATAAAAGAAAGAGAACTTTTAATTATGCTTCACATTCACAAAGACAAGAGAATCAACTAAGAGTTTTTTTTTTAAAAAAAAAAAAGGCATCTCCACAAATAACAAATTTCATTTTCATGGAGGATAAAAAAATGTGTTCTATGCGTTTCTCTTTTGGTTCAACACCTAGCCTCCCGAAAAGAAAAAAGAAAAGGCCTTTATCCATACCTTGAATATGAACATGAGGGACCCCACCACCTTTAAGTGGTAGCTGGCAAGTGATGGATCCCTCAATATACGCATAAGGGAATTAATCGCAACCTGAAATAATAAAAGGATATTTTTAAGCTTACAATAAAAAGTAAAAACCAAAAACTCCTGAGGGGTTTTCATAAGCTACCGTGGAATAATAGTCTTCTGATGACGCAAAAGAAGGCCACAGGTCCATAGGGAATTCATCCATAGACTGCATATGTTGACCAGAATCACTGGCAGGACGTGTAACTTCTCCATGAGGCCCGGGCAACCTAAGTTGATTTCGCTTATGCTCATGAGGATCTAGAGCACCCATAATCCCAAGTACCTGAGGAACCCAAGGATACTTTAGTTACAGATTTGTGGATGTGGAATAAGGAATTTTATACTTAGTTTTAACTTCTAAAGTTACCTTCAAGACTTCTCGTCTGGTGGACCAAACTAATTCACCATTCAGTAATTTTAAGAGTAAGCCAAGTAACAGGGGATACTCGTTATATGGAGTTATGACGTAACTGTCCATGACACAGATTTGAAACCATCAATATAGCAGAAAATAAAAGAATGAATTAAACAAATTTGAAATCCATCAATATAGCAGAAAATAAAAAAAATGAATTCAAACAAATTTGAAATCCATCAATATAGCAGAAAACAAAAAAATGAATTCAAATTCCAATCCACATACAAAAAACATACAAAGACAAGTAAACTGGCAACAGTTTTTACTTACGGTCTCCACTCCCAAATGATACATGAGTTCATAAATAATAATTTTCTTTAAAGCAGTTTCTCCTCACAGTCAATCCGAAAGTCTTGACCAGACAAAGGGCAGGAACTTTATCGCAACGTGTCTTTTTTGAAATAATTTGGAATATTTGGCAACAATTTGGTGCCGATTTCTAAAAAGCTTCCTTGTCTTCATATGCACCTTAGGAAAGGATTTGTTTAGGAATTCTAAGCAGCGCTTGTCTTGGGACATTTTTTAAGGGAGTATCTCCTTTGAGCATGCAAAGGGAATGGGCAGCTTTCCTGCACATTTAATTTTTAGTTTCATTTTCTTTTCTTATTCAGTTTTGGCCTTGGAGCTTCTTCCTGACAAGATACCCCATCCTACTCATAGTGTATCTTTCATCGCTCATATAATTCCTTCTTTGATAAGCTTTACCTAATACACACACTGCAAATATGTTCTTTGTCCTTTTAGAAGGCTAAAGTCCCCTCAAATCTGAACAATTTTGTTAGGAATACACTTAATGGAATTAAATGATTTGCCACAGACTCGTAAGCTTCATGAGCCTCTTTCTCAGGAGATTTGTTTTATCTGCTTTCAGAGTTCAGAGACAAACAGTCATTTTGTTTAGCACCGTGAAGGTGGATAGTAGCCTTGCAATTGACCATGGGATATTTTTATTAAAACATTCGTTTGTCCAGCCTCTTGACTCTTAAAATATAACATTTGGACGAGTACTGTTTTCAAAGCTTTGTGCTGTTAAAAGCTGGATCAAAACAGACCAGTCTTAACCAGAGATCTTTTCTATCACTATGGGATACGAAAGTGAGGTCCATCAGGCCATAGATTTTTATTTTAAGACAAAGGGACTCTGGAGTGCTCTTTTATAATTTTATTTAAGCCTTGGGGATGCATGACTTTTAACAGTTTGTTAAATAATATATACCCCGAAAGGATTCATCAAATGAAGAAATAAACAGGTAACTTTTTTTGACATACAAACGAAACATAAGTACATACCCAGTGCTCTGCACAACTTGACCGAGTGTAATAACAGCCACTTCACGCTTTGTAACAGCTGCTCCATCCAATAATGCTTCAACAATTAGAGGCATAAGTTCAGGAATGTATTGCCTCATCTCAAAACCACCCTAGTCAGAACCCAAGATATTTAGGTAAGTTTTTGGAAGAAAAAAATGAGTAAGCATATCATAAAAAGGAGGAAAGTTCTCACCACTCTGGCAAGATCCCCCACAGTTACAAGAACTCCACTTATAATTCCAGTATTGGCATTAACATCAATAAGTCTCGCTACAAGTGCCTGATATAATCAGAAATTTATTAAGAAAGTAGAAAATGAAACAAGACAAGAACTTATCTCAAACATCACAACTAGTTAAAACCTTATGAATTGGAGCAATGTATGGAAGTATTAGCCTTTCACAATTCCTTATCAAACAACCAAGTAATTTTGCACTTTCTTCCTTGCATTTGCTATCTGCACTGCTAACATAAAAAGATAATTCAACGACAATGAATTTCTTTTTAAAAAAAAAAGTCCAATAAAAGCAACTCATAACCAAAGATATTATCAGAGATTTATTCATCAACCAATAGGATAAACCCTTCAAAATACCTCTGGTCTAAATATGTTAACAACTGTATAAGATGGCGGCGAAGCGCTGGAAGAACATATGCAGGATTTTTCTCCGATAGCCTTCCAGCAACAGAAATGGCATACTCTCGAACATCAAAATCCTGCAGAACCAGGCTCAATTGTCAACAGGATGTAAGAAGATGCAGCTTCAAGAACAAATTGCAGGAAACTATGGTTCTATACAAGTCAAGCAAGAACTTTTTTTCTTTCTTTCCTCGAATTGTAAACTATACAAAAACATCTCCATTAAGTGAATAGTCAGATGAGCTTTGCACTTTCTTCCTAAAAACTCCCAATATGTTAGTTCAATGCAGCACCAATTACCAAAAGGCCGAGTTAATGCCTTGTGAAACTTAAAAGTAGGACAGGTTAGTCTAATATTTTAAAAACTCAAGGAAGCATCTAGGGAAGGTGAACATAATTTTTACACTGAACAAATGAAGGAAAAGACATGAATTTTGACGAAGCAAAAAAGCACATGCACTCCCTGAACCCAAAAAAGAACCTTTCAAGCCGGGCACCACCCTCCTCTAAATTCATAAGACATTCACTTGGGTATAACAGAGAAAAACAATCACCTAGATAGCTACGACCCAGGAGGAAAACGTTATATCCTACATAATCACCAAGATAAGACTCAACCCTTTGACCAAAAACAAGCAAGTAAACGGCGGAAAAGATAATATTCACCCACCCATTAGAGCTTAATGAAAAATTGAGGACCTACAAGACAAAACTAAGATCAAAAGGCAACAGCATCGAACTCCTCTCCAAATATGATATATTTTGTTCAGTAGGCTATAACACTACGGGAAGCAGGTACTATGCACACCAGCCCTAACCTCTTTTTTTTTTTTTTAAGTTCCCAGGAAAGCAGGGACAAGTATTCTTTGTGAACCTTAAAGTCTAACAGTCATACCTCATCATTTAAAGCAGCAAATACTGCACTCAAATTATCAGCCTGTGCCAAATACTCATCAAAACCTCTATCTCCATGTAGAGAAGTAAAGATAGAGTGGCGGACATTAACATCAGCATCTGCTACAGCCGAAATGAGAAGCTTCTCCACGAGCTGCATAGCATCAATTTCAATCAGCAAGAAGCATATCAACTAGGCGTGAATTAATCAGCTAAGAATAAGATTAAAAAAAAATAAGCAAAAGCACTGAAAAATTGACATTTGCGATACAAAAGAGCTAGCCTGCAGGATGAAATTAAACAAAAATATCCTTCTGCAAAATCATATATCAGGTTGAGTTACCCAATGCCCCCACAACCACCTCAAATTACATTGAGTTTTTATTTCTTTTCCATACTTTCTTCTCAGAAATCCACCCGGTGGTTAGGTAATTTTCCATTTCCATTGCATCCCTTCCGATCTAAAACTTCTAAGCACACCCTAAGGGCAGACACCCTCATGGAAATCAAAGGTCCCACAAAGGTGAAGTCTTCCAATCAAACTGCAGTACTTAGCAGCTTAATATGGGGGCAGAATTACAGGTTGTTCCCCTTGGTTTGGCTAGAGTTTCAGTTACTCCCCTGTAGTCTAAACCAACTCATTCATCACCCCAGAGGTTTGTTTTATTACCACATACTATATGGTATCTTTAGTCTTGATTTGAACAAAAGATAATCATGTGAATATTATAAGACAAAAAGTCTACTCTCAGTGTTCCATATTTCATGGTTTTTTTATTGACGGCTATAAGCTAGTTCCATAACTTAGTAGTAGATTTTATATATATATATATATATATATATATATATATATATATATCACGACAACAACATAAATCAACTGAAAATGAAAAACAAAATCTAAGAAATAAATTATCCACATAAAACAAAAAGTGCATGTAAACACTCAACCTCCTCAACAAGGCGGCGCCGCTTTCCCCCTGATCTATTTGACCTGCTAGAACCATAATGGGTGCATGCTATACCAGAAAGGGAATTTGCAACTAATTTACAGCAACATAATGCCGCATCTTTTCGAGTGGCTCCATCCTCATCATCCAAGTAGATAACAACTGATTCCCTGGCAAACTCCAGTAGGTCATGGCCCTATATTATAGCATAAGTTTAAACCCTCTGGCAGCATTCTAACAACTTGAATACAAAAAGGAGGTGAAAAAAAGGCATTGCTGGTAAAATGGATAATATGAATCAGATACATTACAAACAACACAACACATAACCTTGAAGTTGAAACGAGCAAGAGTCTGCAAAGCAAGTTGTACTAAGGCAGAACCACTCAGCTCTGAAACTTGCTGAGGTACATTCACCATTGTTCCTCTGCCCATGCTTGCAGCAGGCCTCCCCAGAGGATAGTGGGACTTAGAAAGAACCATAGATATGCTGTCCAGCAACCGGTCTTGGATGGTTGGCAGCAATGATGGAATGCTGAAATGATTACAAATTAAACATTAAACAATATTGCAATGACCTATCAAATTAGCCTCTAAAAATTTACTTCAAAAAATAATCCAAACATGTACCTGGTACTTATTTGCTCCAGGGATTCCACAAGCACTGTTGAAAGACCAGCAGAAAACATAATATCCAAAAGACTACGTACATGAGGCTCCATAGCAGGGCCCATTGCTTTCGCAATGCTTCCAACACAAGCCAAGGCCTCAAGTGAAGGTTTAGTCCTACGCGGAGCAATCTACATTCATAAATGTGTCAACCTTCAAATCATGATATTGTCACATGAAGGGAGCTGAAAATAAATCAGCTAACCATAAAACCCACATAGGACATGCAAAAGGCACTAAGATGACTAATGATTGAAGACAGACATCAGTCAACAACTACAGCAACATACCGCCTCACGTAAGTGAGTAGTTATTGTCGGCAAATAATGGATGAGTTCCCCATCCAATGCTCCAGCCATCTCCCCGAGAGCAATGAACCCACTATCACGATCTTGGGGTATTTTCAAGACAGCAAGGATATGATTCATGCATATCTGCAAGAGATTGCCACTCAATAAAGTAAATGTTAGAAATTACTATAAAAGCCCCATTCTGAAAGGTATTCCTCCTAGCTTTGAAAAGCACAATCAAGTATTAGGGGAAGTTAACATACTGTCAGGTAGTTAGTAACAAAACGATCACGCAAAAAATGTGCAATTCGAGGCAGCAGTGAAGTTATGCTTAGACGAACAAGCCGGTCCCGATGCTCTAGGTATCTGAGGACAATTTCAGCAACTTCTCTGTATCTTGACATCATGAACTCACCAGTATTCCTGCCCAAAATAACAATTCATGCACTAGTTTGAACCCACCAGATTATAATTTAATCCTAAATACCAGCTTAAATGGGCAAATCTTCTGCATAGTAATGCAGATGTTGGAAACTCTACCAACCTTAAAAGCTCTCCAACTGCCAGCAATGAACCATGTATGCTGTGCACTGGGGCATTTTTACCCAATCCATCTTGTGTTGCCTCAAACATTCGGTAATACCTGCCAATAGAGAAAAATTAAGAACTTACTCCATCATAGTGGCATTTAAATGAGGATTAAAGTAAGGTAAGCCATTTAAAAATATATATACATATATCAATGGTCGCCAAAACCCTCTAAGAAGTCCCGCTATAATGATACACATTGTTTTCAGTTTTCACAGAGTCAAGGCCTACTGCACTGCCCTGTTGATCCAATTAGCAGGCATGTACTTAAGATAGTCTTACACCCCATCCGCCTCCAAAAGGCTTCTATCAACAAAAAACCTCCAAATTTCAAATGCTAGTGCAGTTATCGTTTCATTTTGTTCTAAAATACCATATCAATGCCCCGTTTGTTAAAAGAAGGAGAACTAATCCCTATCCCACATACAACAACTGATATGTAAAATATCTGCTATACCCACATTACCGTTACCCTATCCCACATAAAACAACCGATATGTAAAATATCTGTTATCATTACTCAACAATTATTTTTATTACTTTTTTATCCAAGGGCACAATTGATATTTCTAATTCAAAAAATCATTTTTCATTACATTCTGTGTATCGAATGGGCTGTAACAGAGTTTAGTCAACTTCATTTTCAAACTTCCAGCACTAATGTACCATGTTAGCAGACATTGATCGAACAAAGGACGTCAACCATAACCAAAGACAATATCAACACTATGACCAGATTCAGATTATGTATGTTAAACACATTTAGTATGAACTGACCATTGAACACGCCATCGTGTCTCACGCTTCTCAATGACACGCAGGCAAGCACGCAATGCCTCCACGGCTCGTTCACGAACTGGCAATTCTGGATCCCTCAAAGCAACCCAGATGGCGTCAACAAATTCAGGTACATGAACATTGAAGACAGTTGAAGCATTTTCTGCCATTTCCTGCAGCAGCCATAATATAGTCCATATATGATGTATTTGGGGGAAACGGAAGATTTGAAGGATATGGGAGACCACCGAAGTAAAAGAAAATAAAGAGAACTTGCTCGTAAATAAGCCAAGAGCTTTTGAGAAAAAGATTAAACTCCAACAAAGCCAAATACTTCAAGAGCGTCCAGAAGGTCCAACCAAAGGAAATAAAAAATTTCGATCTGCTCGGACTCTACTAACCAAATTCACTTGGCGCGACTGAACAAAGAAATGACACTTACTTTCAAAATTAAAACAGCAGCGAATCGACGATTCTCCACTCTATTACCTTTGAGCCAATCCAGAGCAATTTTAACCTGAGGATAAGAAAGTTTAGAACATTCTGCTTCCAGAGAGAGAGAGAGAGCGAGAGAGAGAGAAGAAGAAGAAGAAGGCGTTTATTCTCTCAGTATCCACAAACCTGGCGTTCCACTTCATCCGCAGTCATTGCTCCGCCTGCCCTAGCGAGGTGGCCCAGGACCCTACTAGCATGCACCAAAATTTCACGATCGCGCTTCCCTTCAAACACATTCCGCATGTAACTGGAAAATCTTGAGACTTTAGAAGCATTCTCCCCAAGTGCCACATCAATCAACTCATCAATAGCCCTTAGGGCCCCCAAATTTTCAGCTGGCTCACTGCTTTCTAAAAGACTAGAAATTCGATCATACAACTGATCCATGAAACGAGAAAAAGCTTCACCGCTAAGGTCACGAGCTTCTTCCTCCAGATGTTTCTTGAGAGCGAGTGAAGCACCCTCCTGCGCATTTGTGAGAAAAACCCGAAAAAAAAAGAAAAAAAATCAGTTCTTTTGTCCTTCCAGCACCATAGTTCAGCTCTCATCCCAAAAGGGTACTTCTGTAACCACGTACTATCAGCACAATCTCGCAAAACCCAAGTGATGCTGAGGGTCAATTAGAAGTTTGGAACAGTACCTTGGGATGGCCACGAGTGCAGAGGTCAGCCAGGATCCGATTGAGTGCGTCGAAGCTGCCACCGCCCGGTCCAGTGGAGGCAGGGCCGCAGTAGCGGTGGGACTGCGACGTAGTCGCCATTAGGGTGGTCAGCCCTAAATTACAAACCCGCGGCGTCTATATGAAGAAATCTTGAAAAGAGGGAAATTCAGCATTCAGCTTGTGTGATGATAACGAAGGCGATGATGAGCTATGACCATGAGCAAGCCTGGAAGGTCCACACTGTTTCCGTGTGTCTCATTCTGCACTCTCAGGTGTACATGAGCAAGACGAGGGTCCTTCCCGGTGTCTTGAGGGTTTTTCCCCCTTTTTCTGTAAGACAAACTCAAAAAAAAAAAAAAACAAAAACAAAAATTTGTGTGACATGTTTCCGATCTTAGAATCAAATTCTCATTGTCAATAATCAATAATTAATTATGCAAAAATTAACATGTAAAATAGAAACCTACTAGTTAGTTGGATAAAGCAGTGCTCCTGTTCGTTCCATTACAATAATATCACATATTACATAATTTCATGGAAAAGCATGTTAATTTCTCAATAACCTGAAAACTTTTTAAAAACCGGATTTTAACATTGGCAAGTTTGCTCTTTAACGTTTCTTCTAGGATGTCTAGAACCGTTACTGCAGCGCCAGCTAAGATCCGCCGCATGCAATGGTGTCTTCATGATTTACTTGGCTTTAGCAAGTCATGAGTGATAATATGATGCCAAAACTTCCATAGATTTCTTGCAAATATATAAATTCCTGCCTAAATTGCCAATTGAATGAAACTTGTTTCAAATTTTCAGTTTTTGAACTTAGATGCTAGTGATACTAATAACTCCCTAGATATCCTAGAGAACTAATAGAAGTAGTATGAAAATGTAAGGGTCATGGCCACCATAAGTTGTTAACAATATAGTTCTCTTCAAACCACATTAAAAGGTTCTCTCGTTAGTTCAACATTCCCTCTGCGTTTCCCCTGTTTTGTTAGATTCTATGTGACTTCATCTGTCTTTTAGATATTCTCTGCATACTTCGATGTGGTTGTTTTTTTTCCCCCCGAGGCCAAGTACCTTATAGGGTTGAAATGTCAAAAAAATTACATTTTTACCGGAAAAAAAAACTTAAGTTATTATCTCTCCAAGGCGTCACACAGGAAACAGAAATACAAAAACAAAGTTTCACATAATAGTATAATACAGTAAATGTATATGGAACATCTTTAGTTTTTAAAGTCTAACATCATTTTAATTTTGGTCCTTTAAATTTAAAATTAATGATTTTGATTTTCAAAAGTTGACTTCATTTTGGGTCATTTTTTTCCTTGAAATAATGTTTTTGGTCCACTTGTCTCAGGTATATCAAAACCCACTGTTTTTTTTTTCCCCTTGACAGGACTCTCTGTCTCTCTCTCATCTTACATATGAAAAAATTCTACCTGTGATGAAGCTAAAACACTAATGCAGGTAAACAAATTTACATTAGTTTTTTTTTCACGTTGTTCGAGTAAGAACTTAATTAAATAAATCTAAGGATGGTAGTAAATTGGTCTACCTACATCAATTTTACACACTGAAATCATCATAGTAGCATTGAATTGACTGAACTGTGAGCCTCACGTTATGACACACCATGTAGTGTAAAACGGGTTTCATGGTTTATAAACAGGACAAACACTATATTGTTCATTTTTCACCTTCTCTAAACTTTGCACCGGAAGATCACAGAAAACAAAAGCAAAGCCACAATACATTAAAAAAAAAAAAAAAATTGGTGTATACCAAAGGATTTAGTTATAGAATAACTAGAGTAGGTAGCTTTATCCACTCCCCTTGATTTGATTGTTCTGACTTCTGATTACTTTAAGAATAAAATTACTGTATGTTTAGACAAGCACAATGGAGATATTATGATTTTTAAATCATCCGGAGACTAGACGAGAGACCCTGGTACCCTAATATCCAAGAAACAAGTTCTATAGACCCTGTCTTGGCTCTAAGTTACCGTATAGTATTCTAACAAGGTTTTGGTCTTTGGACCATTAGACATGAATATTGGCAAAGTTTGCTTCATATTCTACAGACACGGGAAGAAAACCAATTTCTATCTGTAACTATCAGTGACATGTATAAAGAGGACTAAATTAAAAATCCAAACACAGTATGTTTGTTAAGTTTCTGTGGGGAGCTTCTGAAATCTGAACTTGATGAATGCTATGGATACTACTACTTGAAGATCAACGTCTAACTAAACAGAGGATTTTGAGCTCTATATGTATACTACTACGACTAAGTGAATTTTTAAGGGATTATTTCTAAGTGCAAGAAGATCCAAATGGAAAGGAAAAAGAAAATAAGATCTTGGATCCGCCTAGGGCCCACAGACATCTTTTTGTAGCGAGACTACTCCACATTGAATTCCATTTTTTGTAAGTCAAATCGTACAGGACTTTTATGAGTATCAGTAGAAGATGAATGGAATCACTAACTAGGGGATGGATTAATGTGAATAGATCATAGCACTTTGGTTATAAATACATACCCGTAAAATACAAATATATGATGAATGCACAGGGTTATGATCATGCATGCATATTTAAATATATATATATATATGTAAAGCAATATTTTCGGTAAACTTTTGATGTGATATACTATCTCTATACTTAATATAAAATCTACTTACCTAATTTAGAAAAATACATAATTAAAAAAACTAGTTAAATTAGTTATTTATAAAAAAAAATATGTTTGTTTTCCGTAAAACACCCTATCAAATTTTCAATAAAAAAAATCCTATCAAAACATTTGTGTTGAAACTATTCTTGAATGCAAATTTTCTTACATCTACAATCAATGGGATAGTTTGGAAAAATATGATGAGTATAGAGAAAATAAAATAGATTGATAAAGTTTTACATATAGGATTAAATTCAATCTTTAACTAACTCTTATACTAGTAACATAAGTACCTATGTAGCTGCATGAATACTTTGATCTTGATATTATTTCATATATAACATTTAATGAATAAAATATATCTAAAGAGTGTAATCAAAGAAATATATATGTATATATATATATATGTACGTACATTGTTCGGGCACATAAATATAAGTTAAATACTTTCTTTACTGGCTCACCAATAACCATTAAATACATACGTATATACACATTTTGTTTCAAAAAGGATAAGAACAAGATTACGTAAGGAAATATTCTGAAATTTCTAGATCCATTTTCTCTGTAAACAGCTGAATAGGCTATGATCATCCTATTAGCTGCCTCTGAGACAATACTTGTTTTCCCATTGAAGTTCCTGCCATATAAGCCATGCAGAGAGAGATTCTGAAATCTCTCAACCCAGAAAGAATTTAAATGCAACCAAAAGGTGCAATGATTGACACAAGAGACACAGCCAAATGCTAGTTTTTGCGTCCAAAACCAAAATACATATGAATCTCTACGCAACAAAATGGCTATAAATTGACCCTTTCTGCCATTATCATTCCTCAATTCACTTATTCATTTTCTTTCTGGTTATTTTAGGGTTTCTCAGCCATGTCGACTTCAAGGAGGAGCAAGGGTCGCCAGAAGATTGAGATGAAGAAGATGAGCAATGAGAGCAATCTGCAGGTAACTTTCTCGAAGCGTCGCACTGGGCTTTTCAAGAAAGCTAGTGAGCTATGTACTCTTTGTGGTACTGAGGTTGCTCTCATCGTCTTCTCCCCCGGAGATAAGGTCTTCTCCTTCGGCCATCCCAGCGTCGACACGGTGGTGGATCGCTACCTCACGCGAGCCCCACCGCCACAGACCTCCGGCACCATGCAACTCATCGAGGCTCACCGCAACGCCAACGTTCGCGACCTGATCACCCAGTTCACTCAAGTCTCTGCCCAGCTCGACAACGAGAAGAAGCGCACTGATGAATTGAATCATATGCGAAAGGCCACTCAAGTATATACGGAGCTTTAATTTTAACTCAGAATTCAATGACTTTAGATTCAAACCTGTTCGTTCCGTTATTAATATGTTGTAATTGATAGGGTCAGTGCTGGTGGGCGGCCCCAATAGAGGAGATGACGAGGTCACAGCTTGAGGAGTTCAAGGCGGCGTTGGAGGAGCTAAAGAGGAGTGTGACGAGACAGGCTGATAGGATGGTGCTGATCCAGAGTGCAAGTAATAACTCATCGAATCAGTTTTTGGTCGGAGGTTCATCTTCGAATGCGGTGGCTCCGCCGCCTCCACTGCCACATCAGTTGTTTCAGCCACCGCCAGCGGTGGTTCAAAATCCTCCTGGGTTTGATGGCAGTATGGTGCCACCACACCATGGATTTGGAGCACCAGGGTTTTACTGATCAATGATTAAGTCCTCATCAGAATCATTATGATGCCCTATAATTAGGATTTAAATTAAACTGTGGGTTTATTTTATTCTAGTTTCCTTTGGGTTTGGATCTTCTAAATTCTTGAGAAAACTCTAGTGCGAAAATTCAAATAGAACTGAAAAACGCACAATAAGTAAGTCCTCGTCAGAATGATTATGATCCCTTTGAAATTAACGCGAAGTTTTTCAAGGTTTGGAGATTGAAATCTGTTTTATTATAGTATTATGCTTTTTTTTTTGGGTTTGGTTTGGATTGTCAGTGTCTTGTGTTGTTATAGTGATATAGGATGTGTTGATCTGTTCTTCCTTTGTGGCTTCATTCTATATGCTGTCAGGAAGAATTACGTTGAATCATCGTGTAGTTTCATGTGGTTGTAATAAAAGGCATCTGGTTACATTTCATGTGTGTGTATAGTGTATACATAAGAGTAATTTCTTAAACTCTGAGCAACAATCGTGCTAATGTATTAAATTAATTCGTTAAATTGAATTTGCGTGCATCCCCATACTAACATGAAAAATATGAGGAGAAATATGTTTTCTCCTGAGAATGGGTGAAAAAATGACAGGAAGAAAAAGTAGAAGAGGAAATAAGGTGTGAAACTCATTTCATTTTCTCACTAAATTTGATCTCTTTACAAGACAAAAAAAAAATGAGATTTTTTTATCTCAGTTGCTCCTTTGTTGTCCTTTAATTTTTTTCTTAGTCCAAATATTTTTTTCGTATTTTTTATCATTAATTCTTCATAGATAGTGATATTTTGATATTTATATATATCAGTAAAAAGTGGTTAACAACACAACAAGCCTTATCCTACCAGGTGGGATCAGCTACATGAATCGTACGACGCTAATGTGCTCTATCAACCAAGTTCTTAGGTATATTGTTAACTAGGAGATCCCGTTTAATGACATCATTGAATGTTATTTCTCGACCTTCCTCTGTCCTTTTTTATAGTACTTCAAACTATCTTGATCTACTCTTCTCACAAGGGCCTCTAATGGCCTTCTCTGCACATGCCTGAACCATCTTAAGTGATGTTCAAACTATTTTCTTTCAATCGGCGCCACACTTACTCTTTCTCGAATAATTTCATTTCGAATTTTATCTTTTTTGTACGAATCACACATCCATATCAGTAAAAAGTGGTGTAGTTTTAAATTTTTTGTGATTTTTGGGGTAATTTCTTTTTTAATTTAGATACAATTCTTTAAGAATTGCAAAAAAATTAAGATATATATCATTTTCATAAAATATTAAAATATGACTCATTTTAGGTAGAATCTCATAATAAAAAAAAAAAATATCTGAAAAGTAGGAAAAAAATTAAGAAACAATGGAGGAGGCTAAGGCATCCAGATCCAAAATGAGAAACTGAGAGGTATTCCAGCATTCCCCCTCTACCCCATGTCTGTGCCCTCTTCCACCTCAAGCTGCGTACCCTCCCATCTTCTCCGCTCTGTATCCAGTCCTCCCTACCTACTTTTCATGTTCCTGCCTGGTGGCATATAGGAATTGGGCTATTGGATCTTACGCAAAAATCAAAATTCATGGTTAAAAATAAAGTTCAAAACTTTGATTTCTTACAGCACTGCAAATACATACTTAAAAAACAAACAACTTATAATTTGTAAGTTAATTACTAAAATACATTAAATTTTACACTATGAATCATAAAGCTCAAAAAAGTTTGACCTGTAATATATTTTATATATTAAAATGGAAGACTAACACACGAGTCCAAATATGGGGAATGCAATAGCTAAATAGAGGAAAACAAAAGAGCTAACAAGAGAAAAGAAAGTAAAGGAAGCTAGGAAGAAGCCCGTATATTAGCCAACGCCAGTTCGCTCAATCATCAACACAAATGCAGTACCACAATTTTATTCATTTAAAAAACATCAAAATCATGCTAACACACACACACCTTAGACATTAAAAACATACGCTATATCCACCAAAGCCACATGCCATAGCCGTTCCTCACCTTCTTGTTCCAGAAACACCAAAAATATTCATGAAACACAGCAACATTATAACCCAGAGTAACCAATAAACCCAGAAACAACCCTCAAAACTCTTGGCCCCTTTGATAGTCTAAATGAATAATGCAAAAGATATGGTTTTTTTTTAATCATATCACTGCCTATTTGCGTCGTTTTGGCACTCATAATCATCCAAAAAACTACCAAAATCATGCCTTTTACGTGCATCTCGCATCTACCTCAAATATGTTTTCCGCACTTGCTCAAACCCCCACTATGTGAACATCGATCTTTTGCCAAAATGCGAGGAGGAAGGCAATGGTTTTAAATTATAAACCATGAACGACTAGGATTGAGTCTAATTAAGAATGACGGGTCTGATTCGTTCTTTCAAAACGATGTCGTTTTGACCAATAAAACGTCCATGACCATTGGATGAAATGATTAGGGTAGGAAATGAAGCATCAGGAGAAGCAACAAGAGGCACGTCAGCTCGCTCCCGTCTATTTCCATCCTTCCTAAGAGAAACAGCAGCACAATATATGTATATATAAATAATGGTCAACAATATAATTATATATTTTCCAACTAAAGAATATCCTCTAATTTGCTTATATTGTTACGATTTATGATACATTATTGTTTACCCATAATGTCCATTATTGCCTTAATGAAAATAAATATGTGCAAGACAAGGCTTCAATATCGATCATACATATCCTTGTGTAGTTAAGTTCCAACAGATTTTGACAGTGTGTCCAATTAACGTGATAAGTAACTGCAGAAACAACTCAATTAACTTTTTAATTTTAATCTCAACAAGTCAAAATATAGTACCATAACATCCGATGATTAATTAAAATGATTTGCAAAAGTCAATCTTTTTATAATGCCAACTAGCGTATATGTAGGTGTAGGAGGTTTCACATACAATGTATATAATAGACATTAAGATAAAAGATTTTCTAACTCCCTCACTGGACTATATGATAAATAACAATAATATAACATTAAGATGGGACAATTAATTTGGTTAATCAAATGCCATAAACCAAACACATATATAAATACACACATGTTTCCATTCCAAATAACTCGCTCAAGTCCTAAACCCCTAGCAAGAAGCATTTCTTATCATCATCTTCTCTTTTTCTTTCAAACATGGCGATGAACAAAAAGTGTAGCTCAGGTCGTCAAAAGATTCCGATCGAGAAAATACCAAAGAAAAGTAATTTGCAAGTTACATTCTCCAAGCGCCGTTCAGGATTGTTCAAGAAAGCCAGTGAACTTTGCACGCTTTGTGGGATAGAAATCGCCCTGATAGTATTCTCTCCAGCTAACAAAGCTTTCTCTTTTGGCCACCCAGGAGTTGAATCCATAATCGATCGTTACCTAGCTGCTCGAAAATCTACTTCGCATGCAGACCCATCGTCATCAACAGCAATCACTAGTGCTCATCGGAATTCTAATGTTTGTAATCTCAATTTGCAGTTAACACAGATTCTTAACCAGTTGGAGGTGGAGAAGAAGAGAGGAGAAGAACTCGATCGAACGAGGAAGGCGAGGCAGAGAGAGTTCTGGTGGGAGAGTCCAGTCGATGAGATCGGTTCAGTTGATCAGTTGCAGCAATTGAGGATTGCAATGGAGGAACTTAAGAAGGATGTTTTAAGGCAGAAGAGTTTTGCGTCTTGTTCATCACACATTAATTTCGGGGAAGATTATGGATCGTTCGGACGTTACGATGACGTCTTTGACAACAAATTATTATTAGGTGGTGCTGAGAATATTAATGTTGCTGCTAATTCGTCCAGTGTTGTTCCTGATGATGCCTTTAATAACCTTATTTACCAAAACCACGACATGGGGATCTTTAAGTTTACTTCTCAGTTCTGATCTTCTTGGGTTTTTTTCCGGAGGGACACATTAATGATCAACCAGGACCTCACTGGCCTTCAAGTTCAATACCTCCCTTGGTTTGCTTTTTTATTTCAATTTCCGATGATCATGATTCTGGAAGAATGTTATATTTCATGTAATTGCAAATAATTCTCCCCATTTATATATTTGTATATGATCTTCTCAATGAATGTTTGAATTTGTTCATTTCTCTGTTCCGTTTTCTCTCTCTCTCTCTCTCTCTACACACACATACAACACAAAATATGTCAATAATAGTGTCTCTCTGTATACAACACTGTTTTGTGTATCCTTAACAAACAGTTTATAAATATTATATGATGTCTTTATGTTGTTTTGTGAAGTTTTTAAGGATTAGGTCTTACAGTTCTTTTGTTCTGAAGCAAAAAGTTTTTAGTTCCTGAAAATCATTATTCCATTAAATTTAAACTGAAACCAACAAGTGTAGTTCATTGTATGACTTGGGTTGTGGGTGTTTAGGACAAGAACACAGATTCAGTCTGAGTCCATACATGCAAAAGATATTACACCTTTGGTCCTAATTACAAGAGCTGACTAATTTGACAAATTAAAAAAAAAGTTAAGTTAGTTATTTGTAGTAAATATGTGTTGTCTTCTAAAAATCCTTATTATTAAGTGTACTGATTAGAATTATTATTGTTAGGGACTATCTTGAAAAAAAGATATAAATAAAGACAAAATGGATTGGAGTCTTATATTTGGACCAAAATAAAGTCAACAAGATTTTATATTAAAATCAGAGGTGGTATTAAGAAAGTTATCTTATTCCGGCTTCAGAATACTCCAATTCCACCCATATCAGATATTAAATATTACTTTAAAAATTAACTAATTAAAATCCAGCCAAATAAATACACTAGTAATTAAGAAGGGTAATGGGATAATACGTACCCATCTCTCTTCTCATTCACAATCTTTTAATTAACAAGTGTCTACTATTATAATTACCTTTTTATTTGATGACTCATTCAATTTCCATTAATATGATCAAGAATATATTTCAATAATATATTATTCTCGATCTTTACTTTTGAATGATGAGTTAGGGAACCAAATTAAAAATTAGCAAAAGACAAGCTTCAGCCTCACATTCATTTTCTTATTACTGTTAAAATTTATCGCTCTTTACACCCAGACAAGGCAAGAATATATACGGCTAACATGCAATAATCATTACTAAAATAATCTTTTAAAAACATTTCCAAACTCATGGCTGGGTTTTTTTTTTAAAAAAAAAAGGGCCATGCGTTGACTTGTAAGCGATATCATCTTCAATTAAATGTTGAATCTAGATTTAATTTTTTTTATCCAAAATACTTGAGTAATTAATTGTATTGATTTCTAGTATGTATATCTCTACCAAGAAAAAAGGACTCAATTCAACACGTACGAGAGAAAACGAAACTGATTGGCTCATTTGATAGGTGGAAAAATAATCACAATTTACAATCCGTTTTATTGTTATTGAGATTTTTCTTACCACACTACAAAATTAATTAATTTTCCTTCTCATTATACCCTTTTCGGTAATCTAGTATCATCAATTTCATCATTATATATTAACTCCTTCATATAATTTAAATTGGGTCGGTAGAAGTCAACAAAAATTTAATTCTCAAAAAATAAATAAATATAAATATAAAACATAATTTATTGTAAATCATATATTACTTTTAAATTATAAATAATATCACGTGTTTAAATTTCATACTCATTTCCCACCAAAAAAAAAGAAATACTCATTTACTAAAAAGACAATATATAGAAATACTCGTTCGGTACCTCCTATATAATATTTGTGTAGTTGGGGGGGGGGGGGAAGAGTAAACATTTGCATACAATTAAAATTTAAATTATACCAATTAAAAAGAAACTCAATGAAATTAAAGTTCAAAATAATTTCCAGAGTGCTTCTGATTAAAAGAATTAAACTTAAATTATCAAATCAATATATATATATATATATATATATATAATACAACATATTCTCTATCAAGTTCTTGTTAACTTGGCTACAGACCTTCACACTATAAAGGTTAGCTTTTACAAAAATAATCGAATCATTAGCGAAAAATATATTAGAAACAGAGGTAGCCTTTTAGATAAGCCTAATATGAAGGATAACAATAGGTAAGGAAGTAACAGATTTCCCTGCCTAACTTTAGGAGAGGGCTCAAACCATTAATTACCATCTCTATCTATTATATTAATATTATTAGTAAGTTATATATGATTAAATATTTGTCAAAAGTTTAAATATTGACTTATCTTTTTCTTGGCTATATATAATTTACTTTATTTTTCAGTGGAATCAAATTACAAGAAAATTTTCTTAATTAATCATGGTAATAAATGAAGGGTTATATTAAAAAAAAATAATCTAAATTAATCAGCATAAATGTTTACTGCCTTATGATAATTAGTGTCAAAACTATAATTTAAAAAAAAAGTAAATTAAAGGCTCATTTAATATCGACTGAAATAAAAAGCCTCTTCAAAGGAGAAAAGAACGGAATTGAAATCCATTATCATAATGATCAAGATGTTAATATTAATTATAATTATAATTTAATATCTAATAATTAAGTCAAACTATATTGAAATATTAAAATAATAATACAATATTATATAATCTATGTAATTCAAAATCTTTGGAGGGATACAAATTGTAGGGTTATTAGTTAACTCAAACACAGACCTTTTTATAATATATAAAGACCTAGTAGCACAACTTTTTTTCCTACCTCGATCACTCGCTTTCTTCTTCAAAAAATCATCATTTTTCCTTGATCAGCCATGGATATCATAAAACAGACCAAGAAATCCACAACCACAGGTCGCAAGAAGATCGAGATAAAGGAGATAGACAAGGACTCCAACAAACAAGTCACCTTCTCAAAACGACGCACCGGACTGTTCAAGAAAGCCAGCGAGCTCTGCGTCCTGTGCAATGCTCAGATCGCCATGATCGTGTTCTCACCGGCCGACAAAGCCTTTTGCTTTGGCCAACCCAACGTCGAAGCCGTCCTCCGCCGCTACCTCCGTGGTGGAGCAGAAGATAATAACGACGCGAGCGAGTTCAGTTCGGCGTCTTACGAAGAACTTAATAGACAACACGAAGAAGCAGCGAGGGCATTGGAGATGGAGAAGCAGCAACTGGAGGAGATCGAGAATGTGGCTAAGGTATGGAATAGAGGGAACTGGTGGGACGAACCGATTGATGAGATGGATTTGGATGAGTTAGAGCAATATGTGGCGGCCATGCATGAGTTAAGAAGAAAGGTGGCTGAGAAGGCCGATGAGTTAATGAGGGTTTCGATAATGCCGTCGGTGCCATCGTTTTATGGAGAAAGTTCATTGGGTGGTCTTCTTATCGGAGGCGGCGGAGGCTATGGTGGTTTTCCTAACCAGTTTGGCGGCGGCCTTGTTGCTTATCATGACAAGTTTGAATTTTGACGTCTGAAAAGTGCAATAAGGTTCAGAAATAATAGAGAGGCGATGAGATCGTCTCGATCTCTTTGCACTTGCATTTTTTTTTTCCCGTTTGCCTCAATGGAATAATAATGAGTTTGTTATTGTTGTCATTAGTTCATTACCTCAATGTCTCTCTCTCCCAAATTTAAATTTGTTATTATTTTAGTTTTACTTTTTAAATTTTTAAACCATAAGTTTTGGTTCCTAAAATTTCTTCTGATCTCAAACATTTATTCATATAATTAAATAAAAATTAGGATCATTTTTCATTTTTGAGAAACCAAAATCTATGGTTTAAAACTTGAGAGACCTCAAACCAAAAAATACTTAAGAGACCAAAACCAAAATAATCAGTACAAACTTGAGGAATTGTATTAACCTTACATTTTATTACCAATTAAGCAAATCAAAATTAGCAAGTTCGAAGTGAAGACCATTCCAAAACCTCCACAGAAGTTGTTATTTTAAGAAAACCAGTCCTAAAGAACAAATCTCTTTTATCATGGGTTGGCTGTTATCCAAGTGGTTAAATTTTTGCATATATCTGCAAATTATATAGTTATTATTTTATGCATAGTTATTAATATTGTTTATTAAATATTAATAATTGCAGGAATATTATAACCATTTATTAACATCTTGATAATCTCAATTTTGAATGCCATGGCATGATGAAGGTGGTGGTTAATTTTATACATGTAGAGGCAATAAACTATTTCATTCAATCATTCTCCCCAAAATTTAGCCTCCAGTAGCTTTAATAATTGGATGCTGATTAATTATGAATTGCTGATATTGAGTTTGAAATTTGAATGTGATCAAATTATTAATATCAATGTATATAATTTATAAAAATAAAAAGTCCTTCTGACAATTGTGGTCTTAGAAAAGTCACAGGGATAAGGACATATTGCGGTTTACCTTGTCCCATGCTAAAAAAATGTATATTATGAAATACTAGCTTCATTCCTTAATATAAGACTTTGTTTGACTTTTATTTTGATTTTAAATATAAGACTCCAATCCACTTTATTTGTTATATTTATGCATTTTTTCCCAATATAGTCCTTTTAACAATGGTAGTTCTAGCTAATACACTTGATTAACAAGGATATTTTAAGAAAGATAATATCTATTTATTACAAATAACTAACTTAACTTTTTTTTTTAATCTCCTCAAATTAGTCAACTAGCTCTTATAATTAGGACCAAATGTAGTAACTTAGTTCTTAATTTTGCGGTGATACTTTGATATTAACATTAAACATATAAAATTATATCTGCTAATTTAATTAGATTTGCAATTATTAAACTTCACACCAGCCTCCACACAAATTTGGCCAAGAAAAACTAGCCTCTCCCACTCATTCAATGGCTAACATTTTTATTAAGACGCTAACGCGTTTTTGAGACATGTTTCATTTTAATTGGTTACATAAAACGAAATCAATGTCGTCATTGTTCATCGCGTCAACTTTATTAATACAAACAAAAGACGGATTAACACAAACGTGTCACCTATTTATGTGTCTGCTTTAACTTAGAAATATAAATATATAAGCAATTTTATTATAATAATGAATTTGAAATAAAATATACTCCTTATATGGCGTGAACAATGTGATTTTTTGTATGTTTTATTATATATGATGTGTATTGATATTATTACAAAAAGATCTATTATGCACATATGAATGAAAATAAAATGACAGAATGCCCTAATGTACTAAAAGTTTGATAAAAAGCAATGAGGGTGGGTTAATCGAAGATACTTAGTTGCTTCTAATGTGATGAATTTGAAAGATATATCACATTTAGTGTCAAATAATATCTCTAACACGATTTCTCTTATAAGAAGATACACTTAGGTCTGAAAAAAAAAGTTTAAGGGACTAAAATGAAGACCACCAATTTTAACACGATTAAAAAAATAGGTGAGAAAAAAACGTAGAGCATTTTTTTAAAATACCCTTTATTTATTAGAGGCAAATATGAAAAACTTTTAGCCATGTTAATGTGAAAAAATAAAAATAAATAAATGCCCTTATATCTTGAGCGAGATATTAGGAGAGCGAGATTCAAAATTTGAGCCGTGATAATATAAAAAAAATATATATATTTTTAATAATAAAAAGTAAAAATTAAAAAATACGAATCAGCGAGATAGCGAGGTCGATTTTTTACTTTTTTTTTTGTTTGCCAAAGGATATTTTTATCACTAAAAGAACACTTACAACTACTTCTCCGGTCTAATTATAAGACCCAATTGACTTATTTGAGAAGATTAAGGAAGTAAGTTAAGTTGGTTATTTATAATAAATAAGTGTTGTCATTCCTAAAATATCCTTACTAATTAAGTATATTGGCTAAAACTATCATTATTAGAAGGATTATCTTGGAAAAAAATGCATAAATATAAGAGACAAAATGGATTGGGGTCTTATAATTAGGACCAAATAAAAATTCAAATGGGGTCTTATAATAAGGACCGGAGGAGTATTAAACAAGATATAATAAAAAAAAGCAAATACAGTTCATGAGCCTCGGTCTTTATGGATATTTTTTCGGTTACACCATTGTAGACAATATACGTGCCTCGTAAAATCAGACTTTTTGTTATGACTTGATCCCTCATCCAAAAAGTATATATTGAATTATTCATAATATTACCTCTGATACTAATTATAAGAGCTAGTTGATTAATTTGATGAGATTAAAAAAATAAGTTAAATTAATTATTTACAATAAATAGATGTTATCTTTCCTAAAATATCCTTAGTAATTAAATATATTTGTTAGAACTACTATTATTAGAAGGACTATCTTATAAAAATATATAAATATAAAAACAAAATAGATTATAATTTTATATTTAGGACCAAAATAAAAATTAAATAATATAAGCAGGGATAATATATCAATATAATCAATGTATAAAATTTACAGCAAACTACATATCTATGAGTCATGACGTAGGACTCTTGTCCCATGTAATTTTTTTTATTATTTTAATGGGAAATAGTGCAACTTTTATTTTAATCTTATAATTTCTTTTATTTATTCCAAGAGAAATTTCATATTAAAAATAATTATAATATCATGAATGAAATGATAAAAAGGATATTTAGTTATTCTAATTTATACTAGGGGACAGGAATTTCTTCATCCTATCCCTTCGTCCTTATCACAACTATAAAGAGAAAAAAATTGAAAATAGTTGGCAAAAAAAGTATTGAAAATATAAAGTTTATGACAAAAGGAAAAAAATCCAACTTGTTCCAGGTTGTCCAATTCAGTTATCATACCCAGCAATGTACTTCAGTCTTCACTCTCGATAACTGCGTTATTATCGATTCTTCCCTCATTCCACACACCCGAAAACCTCCATGGATCCGTGTCCTTTTGTTCGGATCCTCATCGGAAACTTCGCCATCACATCTCCGGCGACGTCGAGGTCTTCTGTCCCCGGTGAAGCACCCCTCTCGAGTTCCCCGTATTTCTGCCGGATTCAACTCAGGGACTTCGATTCTCATCAGCATCATCACTTCGCCACCGTTCCTATCGTCTCGTCAAACACCGACGAGACCTACCCTCCCTCAGTTGCTGCTATCTTCGATTTGAGCAAGCTTCAGATGGAGAAACTTATGGCGACCAAGAATCCAGTAATGAAAATTTCCGTTTATGAGTCTCGGCAGACTCCGTCGTGCTCATTCGATACAGCCAAATTATTGGGCAAAATTTCTGTGCCGTTGGATCTGAACATGGCTGAGTTTCGAGCGTGTATGTTTCAGAACGGCTGGGTTGCGCTTGGTGGGAAAAACAGAGCATCTTCGTCGGGGCAGTTATTGCATGTTACAGTTCGCGCCGAACCAGACCCGAGATTCGTGTTCCGGTTCGACGGTGAACCAGAATGCAGCCCTCAGGTGTTTCAAATCCAAGCGAGTGTGAAGCAGCCCGTATTCACTTGCAAATTCAGTTTCAGAGATCGCAGTGTGAGTTCGAGGTGAGTGACTTACAAGTTTTTGGCTCGGTAATTGTAAACTGTTAATGTTCAAGCTGATCAAGAAAAGGATATGAGAAGCTGAGAACCTTTCGATTCTGCTAGGATTTTTGTTCTTTCCTTTTCTTGGATGTCAATCAATGGGTATCGTATCTATTCCAGGTCATCTATGTCAGAGCCAAGCAATTCAAAAAGCTGGTTGCCTTCACTAACTTATCAGAAAGACCATTCAGCGGAGCGAAAAGGATGGTCCATCACAGTGCACGATTTGTCCGGTTCACCCGTAGCGGCGGCGTCAATGATAACTCCATTTGTCCCCTCGCCGGGGTCTCACCTGGTAAGCCGATCCAATCCCGGCGCGTGGCTGATTCTCCGACCCGGAGGCAACGGGACGTGGAAGCCATGGGGCCGCCTGGAAGCGTGGCGCGAAAATAACAGCCCCAATGCTGTCGGTTACCGGTTCGAAATCCTTCCGGCCGTCGCAGCTCCGGTCATGCTCGCATCCTCCACCATCAGCTCGCGACATGGCGGGAAATTCGTCATTGACGTCACCTCCGGCGTCACTCCGATCGACAGCCCGAACGGCAGCTGGGACTTGGGTTCTGGATCGAGGTCCGGGTCTGGATCAGGGTCGGAATTCGGGCTTGAACAGGAACTCTTATACAGAGGGTTCGTAATGTCGGCGACGGTGGCAGGTGAGGGAAAGTGTAGCAAACCGGAGGTGGAGGTCGGCGTGCAACTCGTGAGTTGCACAGAGGATGCTGCGGCTTTCGTGGCTTTAGCCGCAGCCATGGATTTGTGCATGGACGCTTGCCAGTTGTTCTCACGGAAGCTCCGTAAGGAGTTGAGGCAGTAGCCTCTGTCGTTTGATGCGCTAGAATTTCGAGGAACAGGATGTCGTTTCAACGTCATGGTGTCGTTTATTCTGAAGCACTTTAAGTTTGGTAGAGTAGCGAGTAGTGACTACTGACTAGTTCTTTTT